TGACTCAACCACCTCCTTGGCACTTCCTTCCCTTACCAGCTCCAAAACAGAAAGTGATTCAACTTATGTTAAATATTGCTCTTTCACTGGTTCTAGAAGAAATGGAAGTAGAAAAAGTGACTTTGCTGAAAGAGCACTTGAACTTACCAGAATTCCTGGTATTCAGAGTGATGTACAGATTCAGATTTGGAAGAACTGGAGATCTTTACAGGGGAAAGAGAGGACCAAGAGAAAAGAAGCAGAAGCACAAATTTCATGACAACATTTCCCTGATCTTCAAAAGTATTTACAGAAAATGCCTGGTATTCTTTCGTGCCCTGCATTGATACACAACACATGTACTGTAAGCTAAGCCAAATGTGTTATCTTTATTAAAGGGTTCTTGTGGCTATGACTCTATTTCACCAGAGTTCTGTGTAAATCACAACTTTTAAAAAATGCAGTTTTAATCCAAAATTTGAATTCTTCTTGTTAAACTAGAATTTATTTTTAATTTAAAAAAAAATAGTGATGTGAAAATAATCGAGACATTTTCTAAATGTTTCAAAATAAAACCCCAGTATTTAGGAGTAGAACATATTGAAACATTCTCCAAACAGAAACTAGAAACTTTAAAACAATGATTTAAAATGTTGACTTTTGGAATTAAGGTAGCTTCTTGTTTTATAGCCAGCCATAAAAGATTTTTCTTCTATCTTTATGGAACGGTGTGTATGATACAGCAGGTTTAGGAGTAAAAACCACTGGCATGTAAAAGTAACAGGGTCAGTTATTAGAACTCAGTGCAGCCTCCAGCAACTCAGAAGAACTGAAGCTGTGCGCCCTTGGTCTTTTCTGACCACAGCCTCTTTGCCTGCTCTTTGAATTTAAGTTTCATAAATTGTTCAAAACTTTACTGGCAGAATCAATAACCAAAATACTGCTTCTCAACATCTGGTTCGCATTCTTCTCTCAGGTACACTGCAATTCTAAATTAAATTGAATGCTTTACGTGAAATCACTCCAAATTTATGACAGCATACAGAAGTGAACTCAGTTCTTTGTCTTTGAAAGACGTCTGCATTTGCAGCCAAATAAAATCACAAATGCTTACATACTCGATGGCACAAGAGTGCCATCCAGCGGATATTCCTAAATGTGTTCTCATGGGTGAAATCTTCAGTGAGCAGACGAGTGACTGGTATGGGTTGCACGTACTGACCTGATGGCTGCACATCCCAAGTGCCGAATAGCACTGCTGGCCTGTGATGAGCACTTCTGTCAAAAATCAGTAACTTCATGGAGAGTTGTGCTTGCTTCAAAGCAGGAACGTGCCCAAGGTGAGCCGCTGGGCTCAGAGGTACCACCACCATCGCAACGCATGCTGACTGCAGCCAATAACCTGCTGCTTGTCAGCCCTCCCTGAAGCCATGGCATTACCCCGTTGTGAACAGTGCTAATGTGAGCATTCTTGTACAGAGCCTCACCAGGCTCACAAATGAGAGTGATGGAGCTTTGAAGCTGGTTTCAGGCGAATACTGATGCACCCAGACATCAATGTGACAACAGATCTCTGATCTGCAAAGAACGGGCCCTGAACTCAGACCTTCCACCTCCCAGATAGACGTTTTATCCACTGTACTATATCACAGAAAAACTCCTTCCAGAGGAAACAGGCACAGCTGCTTTTGTGAAGACCCGGTCCCACTGGCATACATTAGAGAGATTTGAAGATTATCTTCTTGAACTGAGCTGCTCTGGGGATCTGCACAGAGTGACACGTCATTTTTAGTTCCTGACTGAGTTGAGATCCACATCAGTTCCAAGTAGCTTGGCCCTGCTGAACCAGAGCAATTTGGGCACTTGCAGAGAGGCTCTCTACAGCTGAATAGTTTACCTTAAAAAAACATGTCAGCTGACTTGGGAATTGAGGCCTGGTGCAAAGTCAGGCTCAGCTCACTGGGGTTTTTCCACCATTTCTGGTTTAGATTTAGAAGCTCAAGTTCTGCCCTGAGTCCTCACTCTTTGGGCTTGGCCCCTAGCCAGTAAAATAAATTCTGGTTTAACAAACATGTATTTGATGCAGATTTTACTGACCTACCTTGTTGCCCATCTCATCTACCCCCCATCTGTAATGTTTCCCTTTATAGTTAGCTGTATCTCTAGCAATGCAGATGTATATGAGAGATTGTGAGTGATTCATGGATTTGATTGGCCTGATTGCCCACAGATTAAATCATTTTGAAGTGTTCCTGTCTTCTACATTCATCTTGCCTTTAAACAGAAATTAAATTATCTGGGGATCTGTGGTCACCATTGCAGGTAATACCTGCAAGGCAGAGAGCTCATCCCAACAAGCAGCCATTTCTGCAATGGTCTTCTCAGGAGATGCAGAAATAAGAGGAAAGGTATTTTATTTCTGGGTATAATTCCATTCTGAGGCATCTCTTGCACTAATATGTGACCAGATACCGAAGATCCAATTTGCCCCTATGAGCAATACAGCAGCTGAAGAACTTCCTCTAAACCCTGCATATAAAGAAGCTGGTATTTTGCCATGACTTCTATCATCTTCCACTTCTGAGGACATTTTACTCTTGTTAAGAGCAATCAGGCATGCAGTAAAAGAGTAAAAATAAAATATTTTAGTTAGAATTGGCTTACACCAAGTAGTCACATCCCAAAATATCTGAAATAGTAAGAAGCATGAAAAAGAAATTATGTACCAACACTTTCCACTGGAGAACAAGCACATGAATGCTGACAATCATATTCATTCTTTATGTTTAAAACTGATATGAGTTTATCTAAGATTTTAGTGTGGTACAATTGCTCTGAGACTGTGAGAGACCAGTAAAACATAAATGTTTTTGTAGTGATCCTCACACTACAGATATGCAAAAAAAAATGAAACAAAGAAACAAATTTATGTTTCTTTGTTCCATGGTAGATGAAAGCGATATTCAAAATATGATTTGTTTTCTGATAGTGAAACCAATATGAACAATACAACTTTTAAGAAAAATACATCAAGCCTCCAGCTTTGAAACAAAGCAGGAGCTAAAAGCTTACAAGCAGACCCAGGCATTACGTGGTGTCACTGGCAGTGTGATCAGCTTCCCTGTATTTATCCTGTGACAAATCTTTTGCCACTCTTTTCTCAGGTGAGCTGTCCTTCCATAGGTAAGGTTTTACTGCTCCTGTACACTTTATCTGTTTGGGATGGGAGTGCTCTGCCGTTGCAGAAGGCTGCAGAGGGCAGATGCGGTGACAGGATTACCGCCGACTCGTTTTTCAAGAAGAGATTAGGAGCAAAGGTGGGACATGTGGAAAATCACAGTTTCCATTTTCAGACGCCGATTTTGAAACTTACTGTTTAGGAAACAAAAACAGTGATCGTGGGGGTACTACATCTAGGGGTGAGGCCAAGCGAAAACTCAGTACCAGCACAACCACATCATCCTGGGTGCTCACAGACCTCAAGGGATGAGCCAACACGAAGTAACAGAACTGCAGAAAACCAGCAGACACAGAAGGATCTGCCACCTTCTGTTGCTAGTGAGGACGCTATAATGACGGAAATAATTAGTTAATCTTTAGTTTAAATAAAGCATTGGGGGAAAAGGCTAAAAATAAACACTGATTCATTCCTTGTCAGGGAAGTTTCTCCTGTCAATTATCACATTGTTACTGCTGTTTTTAATCTAGTCAGATGGTGAGATTGGCAAATCCCTTCTGCAGGGGCTTCTGGGTGTTATTCTGTAGAGAATCTTGCTTGAAGGACTGATTGCTGCTTTTATGAGAGCCAGTGGGAGTTTGGCCACAGTCCTTCATGCATGTTAATTTGAGGGACTTCCAAATGTTAGCTAATGATCTCAGGCTTCTTTTTATGAAAGATGTGTGGGTATGTTTTGGAGTTTGTTTTTGTTGTTTTTTTGTTCTTAATCCCTAGCAGGAGGCAATTAAGAGGCTGTGGGGAAAGTTCTGTACTGAAGCACTGGATCAGCCTCTCCACAGCTCCTACATACAACCCTATAGCATGAAAAACGGAGAAGCATAATGCTCCGATACTGGAATACACGGGCTCTGAGCACCCTCAGCTGTGGGTGTCACAGAATCACAGAATGGCCAGGGTTGGAAAAGACCTCAAGGATCATGAAACTCCAACCCCCCTGCCACAGGCAGGGCCACCAACCTCCACATTTAAACCAGGCTGCCCAGGGCCCCATCCAATCTGACCTTGTGAACTGCAGAGGAGCTGGACTGGATGACCTTCAAATGTTCCTTCCATCTCAAACGTTTCTATGATTCTATGAAATTGCAGTTGAAGATGCTCGTATTATTATTCACCCAGACCAGACCATACGCCCTGCATTGCTGTGGGCTGGGTGTATTTATTGGTGTCCACTTACGATAACTTGAAAAAACAATTACACTTCTATTTTCTGGGCATAATGCTAACGAAGAGGCGGCAGCCTCCACCCCAGGGCAGGAAAACACGGCAACACAGCAAGGAGAGGCCGTGTAGGTGGGGAGTTTCACTGCTGCCGGTGCTATGGAACCTCGCGTAACTGTGAAGAAGTGGAGAGGAAAAAAAACATTGCAGCAGATAGAAAGCCAAGGGCGTGAGCCCAAGTGAGCAGCAGGACTGCGGCTCTGAAGCTCACAGAGGCTCTGGACTAAACTCTGTTCTGGGAGCTGAGAACAGACAAAAGCCGTCGCCCTCCCCTTTCCCTCCCTAAGACTTCACTCCCGGCCGCGCTCCGGCCACAACCACGCACCGCCCGCCCCGAGCCACCACCAGGCCGCGCCCGTCGGGCCGAATCCCCCGCACCGCGCCGCAGCCGCGCAGGCTCGAGCCGGGCCGCGCCTCCCGCCCGGGCCGCGGCTCCGGAGGTGAGAGGGAGGTGGGGCGGGGGCGGAGGGGACCGCAGGGGGCTCCCGGCCGGGCGGGCGGGCACCAGCCGGGGCTCCCCTCCCGCTGCGGGGCCGGGGCCTGGGGGCTGAGGGACGGCAGACCCCTGGGCGTGCTCCAGGGGAGGCAGAGCGGGCCGGCCGGCCGGGATTCGCTCCCGAGTGAAAGCGGGGCGGTGATGCTGCGGTTTTGTTTTTGTTTTGTGCCCAAATCCAGATGACGCGGTGAGGGGCGGTGCCCAGAGGGGATGCGAGAACGGGCCCGGCGGCGAGGGCAGCGATGCTCAGCAAACACCTCAGTGCACACGGCCATCACCCAGAAGGTACGAAACGAAAGGTTAAGTGCGAGAGGAAGGAAGCGGCTTCCATCACAGGAGGCCTGCAGCGGGGCCGGCTCTGCACTCCCTTCCACTCTGGGACATTCCCCATACATCCCTGCTTTGGCACATTCACTTTTCCACGCTCAAAGAGCGTAAAGTGACAAAATGCCTTCCACCCAGCAGAAGACAAAGAAATGCACCCATCCAAATCTCAGGCCAGAGTCTGTCTGGCCTGGGATGAATGCTGGACCGCAGTACCCGGGAATGGGATTTCTCAGAAAGCCAGGAGCCAGGCAAAAATGGACCCTGTCATTCTGAGTCTGAATATGAAAACAGCTTGCAAAACATTTTTTCAGGCTTTGTAACAAAAGAGTTGGTCTTTCTTTTGCTCTGGTATCTAGGCTACATTGTGCATGCTCACGCCTATCACTGGTTTTATTCACATGAGTAATTCCATTTGAATTTGGACCGAGGACTTGCATGTGTAAAGTTACTCATATGCTTTCTGTCTTCTTTATATATTGAAATTATGTGGGTTTGTACTTCTTCCATTTCCTGGTGCAGCCCAGTAGCTGTTGGCATCAAGGTTATTGTGAAGCAGCAAAGCCATTCTGACTTTGCGTGCCTGACGCCTTTTCTTTCCTCGCCAAACTACAACTGACTACTCCTTTGTGTGTGATCTATTCCAGCTACGCAATCATATCTTGTTTTTATGCAACCATCTTTCATGTGAGTGCTTAAATTATTTTCTCTGTAAAAGATCCTTTTTGTACTGACAGTCTTACCAGTTGTGCCATCTGATTCTTTTTCAACAAAGAAGTCATGATGTCTTTTATGAATTCTACTACAATGTATCATCTAAATTCATTGCAATTCTACCATCATATCTGAATGTTTTAATATTTGCCAGCTGGAATATTTTATTATTCTCATTGTCAAACGCCTTCTCTTTCTGCTTTCTTCAAGCTACAGCTTCTGCAGTTCTGGCAGCCTTGTATATTGTCTCTGTCCCATTGTTCTGTGCTAGTCTTAAGGGCAAAATGTTTCTGGGACAGGAAAAGCACATTGTCTGTCTTCCAGAAAGTATGGTGTTATATTGAGTTCATAACCAAGTGTAACCTTTGATGTTTCTTTTCCTCCATCAGAGACTATAAACAATAAGCAAGTAAAATTATGTGCATACATTTTATTACTAAAATTAACACTTTTTAACTGATGTACCCTCAGCTGTGCATTATATACCATAATACTGTAATTCATGCCCGAGGATAGCAGGCAGACAGTGCAGCCACCAACTCATCTCAACTGCATCTTTTCTTACTAACCTAGAACATTTTGTTGTTCAGTGCAAGTAGAGTCGCCCAGAGGAGATAAATTACCTGGAAGTTGTTTTAATGGCATTTCACGAGTTGTCAAGAAGACACATTCAGTTACACCTGAGTACAGATGTATTACATTGAACCTCCAGGCATCTACCTACTCTATCTTGAAGGAATCCAGCTAGTAAAGTTCTTGTGAAATCCCCACAAGACGCCTTCTAGGAATGCTGAAAGCTGCTGTTTCTGAGTGGTTGGGTGATGACCTGTGCTTTGGAATGGCCTTCTTGCACTGGTGAGAGTACAAGTTGTTTCCAAGGAAAGGGTAAAAGGCCAAATCCCTATTTGTCTGCACTTTGCGGTGGGAGTTTCATCTGTGTGGATGAAAGGAACTGTGTGAGAACCAGGAGCTGTCTTTTCTCCCTGTGCCTTATCTAGAACATGAAGAATTACCTGTTTGTCTCAGCTGATGTCCAAAGGATCATCTTTTTGGTGTGACACTTTACAGTCAGGCCATCTATCCTGGGTACATAGTCAGACCACAAGACAGAACGAGCACTTGCCGTCGCTGCGGATGGAGTGAGCAGCATGACCTTAAATAAAAATCAAAAAAGATAAGACTTCTAAAATTAGCATGCCTTCTAGGTCCAGAAGTAAATAAAACCCATATACACTCACATTTATTACCAGCATAAACTTTTGATCAGGGTTGATTGGGAAATTTATATTTCCATTAAGTGCCAAAACTGTTTCACTTACTGATGCCTGTTTCTGCTACTTTGGGAAGCTCTTTCCCAAAAACTTAACTCAAAAATTGGTTTGCAGTCAAGTGGTTAATTGCAGTTGTGGGAAAACAGATTTAATGGCTTACCTGGGGAGACCTACCACTCAAAATTATATAGTCTTTTTTTTTTCATTTATAAAAACAAATCAGATTCTAATTTACTAAGGAAAATAAACAGAAAATAAGGAGAAATATATGTATTTATGTTTCATCTGTACCAGAAGACTTATTTCAATGGAGTGAAAAAGGTGATTTCTTCTATAAACAAAGATGTAACAATTCCAGAAATATTTTAGTGAATTATTTTTTCCAGATACCACTCCTTCCACAATATTTGGGAAATAGATGAAACATTTACTGCATTATCCCAAACTGAGTTGTGATGGCTTTATTAAAAAATAGGCAATATACTTAGCACACATAAAATATATTAATATTTTTATAAAGGTATTATAAATATATTTATACTGCTTTATTTTACATTATTATATGTGAAGGACTTAAGGACTTGTTTTATAATAGGCAGTAGTGCTACACGCTAATGAAGACAACAGATTTCTTCTGGAAAAAAATACAGAAAGAAGATAACAATAAGGTCAGTTAACAAAAGAAAAACACCACAAAAAAAAAAGAAAGAAAGAAAGAAAAAAAGATAATAAATCTGCAGTGCTGAGCTTTAACATGACTGGGATCTGAGTTAAAGGAAGACGACGGCTTACCCGCAGCGCTCCAGAAGCAGGCAGGCAGCCGCTGTTCTCAGGGACAGATACTGCAGTCTCATCTGCTCTGCAGTAAGGGTGCGTTGCCCTCGGTGCTCCAGGTACACTCCAGGAATAGTAGCTGTGTGCCAGAGAACAGAAGAGATGTTATATACAAGTGCTAATTACATGTGGCTGCTTTGGAGTAGTCGCTTCATTCAGAATACCTCTTCACTACAGAACGCATTCGGGAGCGCTGAAATGTGACAGTGATAAGAAAGTCACCCTGAATTCACTTGTACAAATTCACATAAGAGCTATTTAACATGAAAGCCCTTCAGATGTTCTGTAAATTTTCAGGTCTGTGCAGTCAGCTTTACGAGGAGTACAGGGATGGTACTGTTTGAGCCCAAAGTGCCGGCCTTCCTCCCTGCATCAGAGCAGAGCCGTGCGTCCTGCCGTATCTCCGTGTCTCACAGTACCCTGTCCTTCAGCTGCCAGCTTCCACCTCCTTCCCTGCACCCTGGCTCCTCCGGCTGCACGCTCGGTCACACAGGATCTGCACATTTACAGCACAAAGCAAGGCACTCAGAATTCTAACTAATATGGGAATATTACAGTTATTCTGTACTCCCAGAACAACCCCGCGCTTGTTGGAATGCTGAAATCCTGAAGCTGAGCATCTCTGAGAATTAGTTTCTGTATTATTTCTATTTTATTTTTAACCCAGAGACAGTTCCTAACTACTTCAATTTAGGAAATAACAAAACAGCAAACCTTGAGTTACTGAGAGTTAGCACACATGTTAAAGCAGTGGCAGTACGTGTGATGTGCTGAAAAAAAAACACAAACCCTTCGTTCTAAGCTATTTCAAACAAACAAAACAAGTGGTTTTGTTCAAAACAGGCTTTCATAACTTCCTTACAATTTTTTGCTCCAAGATTTTTCTTATTCGTGCAGTCGTGTTGGAGCAGCTGTTAGAATAAGGCCAGGACGAAAGCAAAGGGTTGACGATAAGTAGAATCAGAAAGACCTGCTCAAATTAATTGTTTTTGAAGAGCACTGAAGCATCCAGAAGAAAATAACGTACTGTGCACAGAAAGGTGCTGAGGGCTGAGCCATTAACAACAGCAGAAATTCCTTTTTTCCCCCAATGAGTGATTCCATTTCTCAGTGTGTTCCAAAAGGCTCGATTCTCTTAAATCTGAAACTTTTCTGTCTATTGAAAACAGATGGAAATGAACGGGGGGACCCAGGTAGAAGAAGAGCTTTAATGAGCGTGTATTTAAGAAATACTTCAATAAACCATTCGTCTGAGAAACCACATCTAATAGAAATATAAATAATTATCTAATGAGCATATAGACTACATTTCCTGGAGTCATTTCTGTCTTTCCACATTTCCTGAATTATTTTCATTATGAAGCAGTAATGTGGCACCATTAATTGATGAGCGCTCTGTGCTGTAGTTACTGTGCTAATTGCAGCTCTCGAGGTCCTCGTCTCCACCGTCTGACAATCGGGATTGATTGCAGGGGGGTTATTTTTAGTGGGAAACGGCAGAAGAGTTTGGAGAGCAGCAGCCATTTCTTGTGCGTTACAGCTGGCTTGGGAAAAGTTGCACAGAAATGTCCCGAGTTGTCTTTTTGGGTTGGATTTTTGTTGTTGTTGTTTTAAATCCTGCTGAATTTAGAGCTTCCTATTGGATAATTAATCTTGCTTTCACAAAGTTGAAGCAGAGAGTATAGCTCATGGCATTGGTTGCAGAAGAAGCGCAGATTTCCTCTGGAAGCAGGACTTGTAATGGGGGCAGACGGTGAACTTTATGAGTCTGGCTCTTTACAAAGGCAATCTAGGAGTCAAGTTTATAATTAAAGATACCATCGATGATTCGAGCTGGCTAACTTATCCAAATTGTGGAATGAAGCAGTTTGTTCATTGATGTGTTCAGTGATTGAGGGTCTGCCTCCACGTGCTCTATGCCCACGCTCAGCAGGTGAGAATGGCAGGAGACCCCTAAAGCCCTTCTGTCCTGCATCCTGCTCGCCCGCCCTACATGGAGCTCAGCCAAGGTTGGCAAACACGTGGATTGCAGTTTGTTGCTGATCTACTGTATGAAATCAGGAGCATCTTCTGTGGATGTTTATATAAGGGGAGTCAAGGTTTGTGTAGGAAGAATAATAGTGAGAAATATTTAGGAAGAGGAATAACCAGTTTTAACTGGGAACAAATAAAAGTCAAGGGGACAAACCCTTTTTACCTTTGTTAAGTATTAATAGCAGATAATAACCTATCACCTTTTTCTTTCCTATTAAATTGTATCAGAAGTAGCAGTAACGCATCAGCAAACTTACAGTGCTTTACCACTGAGGTGTCTTTGTCCCCATTTCTCTGTGGAAGTAGCTGAAAAACAGAGTAACTGGGTATGGCTGCACAGGTTTGGTCGAGTCAGAGAGGAGCTGTATTTCATGGCTTCAGTCTTTTTCCTTTTCAGTGGCATGCCACAAAGCATTATGGACTTAGGCACATATAATGCATCATTGATTCACAACTGCTAGTTTGCCTGGGGAAAAAAATAAAGAGACACACATCATTGTAAATGCTGCCAATCTTGTCTTCTTTCAGACAAAATGCTAAAAGAAAAAAAAAAAATTAATGTCATAAAATGAATTTAGCTCAGTTTGAATAGCTCGCCTTAACAGAATGGCTGCAAGGGATTGTCTTGCAATGAATCTATTCCAGTCTTACAAATGGTAAATCTCAGAGCAAAACCTTACAATAAATGAAACAAAATTAGATAGGATTAGATGCATTCCTCATTAATATGCTGTAGCTATTTTCCATTGCTTGTTTTACCGTAATCTTTCTTTTTCCTCTGATCACATACAGCCTGTCCTGCAGGGATCGGTGCTGTAAGCAATTCCTGGGCACCCTCCTGTCATTGACACTGGGATTGTGAAGTGCAAATTACATCAGCAGTGAAAATACAGTTTTTGCAAATGGAATAGTTAGTTCCTGAAGCTTCTCACTTGTAGCACGCTGTCTAATTTTAGCATTGCGATTTCAGGAGTCAAATAACAGTTCAGACAGGGGCTTTATAAAGTACAGACAGCTGAAACTTGCTACAGGTATCTCTGAGGAGCAGTCAGTGGCATCAGAGGGATGCTGGGCTGTAGGAAAACTGAAGGACCTGGGATAATATGCGTGCTGCTGAAAGCGCTCCCCTGCACTGCCTGGGGACAGCTGAGCTCTGTCACCAGCTCAGCACACCCTGATGGAGTCAATCCCATTTTAAGGAGGCAGCTCAGCAGGTACCACGCCGGCCTCATCCACCAGCACAAGAGGCTGCTGCTGTTTTAACCGTGAGCTTGCATTTGACAAAGGACTCAGCTGAGAGAGGCACAACTAACATTGCCAGGATCAATTCTCAAAAACTTCAGGCTTTGGAAAACAAGGGGACCTTTGAGCATATGAGAAAGCATTTAAAGAAGGGATATGCATTTGTGCTCCTTTGTGTAAGTACCTCCTGAAACAAGGTGTTCATGGGATCAGAGATCAGAGGCAGAAGACTGAAAACTCTTGGAAACAAAACGCTCCCATAAGAAGGGAAGTAGAAGGCCAAAAGAAAGTTTAAATTACCGTTTGCAGGAAACCGTACCCAGGTGTGGTTTCTGATCAGACAAGAAGCATTTCTGCTTTTTTGCCATTTCCTGGTGAATTAACCTGGAAAACAAGCTGTAATTCAAGGCCTTTCCCCAGAGAGGAGAGCCTTTGAGCGCCGCACGGCGGCCATGCTCAGCACACCCACAATCTGAAGACCCAGCACCCCAAGCACCTGCTTACACCTCTGCTCCTGACATGCCAGTGTGCTGCTCTCCCACAGGAAACTCTCCATTGTGACTTCTGTATGCAGGAAGGCTGTGGGTAGCAGAGGCAATAACGTTTCTCTGTGGATGTAAATGGATTTATTGCTGTACATCTGGGGCAAATTTGGTATGCTGTCTTTTCATTATTATTATTATTAGAAATAATTGGGCTAAGTAGCTTTAGGTTCATTATGTTTCCCTTGCAACTAGTCTAAAATCAAAAGAATGGATTGCTGCACATTCATTACACTGAGCTTAGAGTTTATGCACAGGGCTGCTATGCACAGGGTGTGTCTGTACCAACAGATCCTTACCTGTCCTTTTCCAGTCCTGGATCCCAGAGGGGAATCCAGCTCTCATTGAAATTGGGAGTCCCTGTAATCTCACTTGGTGATGTCACCGACACAAATCCCAGAATTTGACCTAGTGTTGATCTGTAATGCTTCATGGGAAAATGTACTTTAAAACACTGGGCATTGCAAATTTTGAAGGGGCTGAGAGATGAGCTGTAGTCCTGGTGTTCCCATCTTCACAGAGCACAGTGACATCTTGTGGCAAATTAAGGGATAGTGCCTTCTTTTTTCTTTCCAGATAGATCCTAATTTCAGCTGTTTCAGGGATGAAAGTCTAAGAAAATTCTGGACAAGTGGTAACGAATTACTTTTAGCTGTGTGTTTGCCCTTTCCCAATTTTGTTTCAAGTACAGCTTACCTGGAACTCACAGAGGAAACAGACAGAAACTTGGTTTCTATCTGCTGCGGGTGCAGGACATTGTAGTTTGTGGCTTCTGCTCACCAGCATGCTTTGGAAAACAGCTCCAAGAACACGGCTGTCCCAGGCTAGCTGACATAAGGCTCTGAATCAGCACTGCACATGCTTTTCTCTGGTTATTACAGACAGCAAAAATGGTCAGGTTGTGATTGATGGGAATGAAAAGAAAATGTTGGAATCTTTTATCATAAAGCAGAAGTTATTTTTCCCTCCTGTCATCTTTTATTTTTATATCTAGTTTTTTTTAATTTATATATATATATATATATATTTGTCTTTTTACAGACCGAGGAGGGTCTAACCCCTGCCTGTGATGCTGTGGACCCTCCCCTGGCACTCTGTGCAGTTGATACTTGGATAGGATCCTACTTGTCAGCATGAAAGGAAAAGCTGCACACTGCGACTGGAAATGTTTAGCCCAGAGGAAGGCCTCTCCCTGCGATCGATACAAACACGCCTGTGCTGTCTGCAGAGGATTTGTTTACCTCTATGGAGGGCGGAACACCACCAGTCTCAGAGATTTTTGGCGGTACAATATAGGTAAGTTTGCCCCTTCGCTTACTGGTCAAAATAAGAGAGAAAAATGCATCTGGTCATCCTGAAACAGGGGACACTCCAGAGCTGACAGCTTCCCTGGTTAGTGTTTCTCCATCAAAATAATGTTGTACCTCAAGCAGCTACCTAAGCTTTGTAAATGTTTTCAGAGATCAAAGGATGCATGAACTACGTTATGATCATTGGGCAAACGGTGGGATTGTTCCTGGTGTAGGTGTCCCAGAAAGCTTGGATTTGAGCTCTTTTGTTTGGCCAGAAATACTGATTCATTTACAACGTCCCATTTCTAGCTAAGGATGTGACAGAGATTTATTGAATCTTTAACATGGGAATAGTTTATTCATGGAAGAGTGCACAAGAGGAGTGCGTGAATACAATACCTTGTAAGACTGCATTAGTAATGCACCATCAAATATGACATTTTCTGAGATTTAATGTATAGTGTTTCCTGTTCAATTGTTGTTAGTAGATAAAACTCAGAACTGCGTTCATGGAATAGCTGGGTTCATGGAATAGCTACCTGCATAGCATTAAAATAACAACCAAACTGCCATTCCACATACGTTTGCTATATGGAAAAATGTACTTAATTGTAGAATTGTGGGGGAGGTGCCTCAGTCTTCTGAACTAACAGGGGAGAGATGACCCAAGGCTTTATTTTAAGATGGCCTGCATCAGAGCAGTAGTTTTTCACTCTTCTTAATAGCAAAGCAGGAAAATGAGGAGATGCTTCTTAACCTTCACGCCTCATTGACCCTGGGTGTGCAGCCACATCCAAAGCTGATCCTTTCACCTTTTTCTTTTTGTCTAAATGTTGCGTTCACCACTGTCCTAACCTGAGCTCTGGTTTATAGCGAGGAATGAATGGGAGCTGCTGGACTGCTCAGGAGATGGACCAGAAGAACTGGAAGAACATTCAATGGTGGCTTACGAGGTAGTAAAGGACAATTTACATTCTCCATATCCTAACATTTATTTTCCTAATGTACAGTAAAATAAAATGCCATCTATTATTATATACTGGAATATTAGACCTCTGTGTCAGTGCCATTCTGGATGTAGCTGTACAGTGTTCTGGACTGTTTCCGTATCAAGTCCCAGCATTTCAGCTTAGCAGCCATGTGCAGCTCCCTGATTTCCTCACTTAACACTCAGTACATAATAGTAATACCAAATACAGACCTTGGCAGCACATTCTTTGACTTAGCTGTACAGTTGTAACAGTTGCTCTGAATTCATTTGCATGATAAGCAACAGCATGAAAACATTCATTTAGGAACTTGCATAGAAAAGGAACGGGGGAGTGAAGGCAAACAAGAATTACAGCTTTACTTGTGAAGGGGAATCAGAATTTAGGGTATCAGGAGCTGCAGTGCAAGGCAATCCTCCTACAATTACACGTAACCTAGTAGTATTACCTGAGCAATTCCAGGTGTGCATCCCTCACGTTTTCCCACACGACGAGGAAGTGTGTGCTTTTCAAACAGCACCATGTTCAGTGGGGCTTCCTACTGGGGAGGATAAAAACATGGCTAAAAGTTGGTGGCTTACAGTTGCCTCAAGAATTCTTAATAGGTTATCCTAAGCATTACTGTTGATTGTATTTTGATGCTGTCAGCCTTTTCATTTCAAAATTATTTTTGCAATTATTTTCATGCTATGTGCCTACCTATACATGGCAAATGTCTTTCCATTTTGCAGGGCACCCTGTACATTTTTGGTGGAATGGTGGATTCTGCTTTCACGCAAGCAAAAACCCCTCTCTGGATATATGACACAGGTATGATACACAATAGCCAGTCTCTTCCTTAGGGCATTCCAAGGCCATAGGTACTAATAAATGGTAAGAACCAAGCTGCTTTCTGCTGCTTGTAACAAGTCTTCCCTAGTTTTACAAGAAGAAATGTGTGTAAAACTGAGGACATAGTTTTCCTCTGAAATTAGGCTGTTAAGCTTTCAAAGAAATCAGCTCTTCCTTTAATTGCAAGGTTATTAGCATTACTATTTAAGAAAGCATCATGTATTTTCATGCCGCTTTTTTCATTCCTCCTCCCTGCCCCAAATTTTCCATTTGACCTCATTGTGGCCTCTGCTACTTCACTACATAACCTTAAGTCAGCGGGTTTATTTTAACCTCTGTTTTCCAACATGGAAATACCTGCTGCTACAGCAGAGATTCTCGGATAGAAGCTCCTGTGTACCATGCATTTAACAGGAGAAAGATTCTTGTTACTCACGGTACTTAGCAGTGGAAATTGTGAACGAGTTCTGCAGAGGTTTTGTACCTTTTTTTCGTGGTCGTTATTTCAGCATTTCCCTGCAAGTATAGCTTTTAATAACATGGACTTGCTTGTAATTCTTCCTTATTCTTACCAGAAGCTGAATATCTGGTCCCTCTGGTCCTTCAGATCAGTGGTTTTTGACTGTTATCCGAGGACTGTTTTTAAGCGATCTGTGAAAAGGAATGAGAAAAGTAAGGCTGTGGTTGTAAGGTTTACATAATAAATAACAGGAGCCATACTTCCACAGGAAAAAATGGAGATTCTTCAGGTCCAGAAAGCCACAGATTATTTTTTACTTTGAAATTTAGCTTTAGGAAACAGAAAAACCAATATGGCATCTCGGTGCTTTGATAGCAGATAAGGATACAGGAGGACTATCAAACTGTCAGCTCCCCGGCGCTGCTGTGTTAGGGGAAGCAGATTTCCTCATCCTTGTCAGTGGAAAACACCGAGATGAGGTTGACTTGAAAATGAGATTCGTAATTTGAAGCACTGGTGCTGGAGGAGCGTCCCCTTGTGGTCTGTGGTATAAACTGCGCTTTATTAAAACAATCCCCCAGACTCTGCGAGATGGACAGAGGGCCGCGACGTAGCAGCAGAGATGGAGGTAAGGAGCCAGGAAGTGGCGAATGTGTGAATCAAATGCCTGTTGCTTTGTTGATTAAACAGATTGCTTTGAAATATGTTCCCCCAAACAGTTCCAAACTAATCTCTTCAGAGACATGTGGCTGCACTTGCAATAATTAAGGCTTTTTCCTTCTTTACAATTACTGCTCTTAACTTTCTATATAGCACTGAAATTTTAAGCCCTCCACCACTTCTTCTGTTTTTCTAAAATCCTTATAAAGAAAAGCAATTTTAAATGATACATTGCTAGCATGAATGCTTTTAAAACAGGGGTCTGAAAACAGATGGGTGGTCACACTAATACATTTTGAAATGTGAAGTGCTGCAGCATTTTTTATTTCTCTAGTCTGAGCACATTGACTCCTTGAGATACTGCTGCTTTTAAATGAAACCTCAGAGTAAGCATTGAGGTGATGGTCTAATGGATTGGTTTTATATCAGTACGTGTAAAGAATGACCCACGGGGTTGCTTCAGCTGTGTGTTTATCCTGCATTTTCAAAGAATTTTAACACGACCCAAAGCAGTGGTTTTCATTACTTGGAAATATTCCCAAGGCAGATTGATATGACTTTGTCTGTTAACATTTCTTCTTGTTTTATTACTAAACTATTTCAGAGTTTGGCACCTACTAACAGAAAAGGCCACAGTGCAGTAGTGTACCGTGCCAGCATGTACATCTATGGGGGATATGTTGGCATCAGAGGCATTTCACAGGAATTTTGGACGTTCCATTTTGGTAAGTTAGAAGTTTGATACCTTTTGATCCAGTACAATCAGTGAAAAATGATGACTGCTGTGGAATAGCATGGCTTGCTCTGTGAAGAAAATTCCTATCAGCAGTAATGTTGCAAGTTAGATTTGGCTTCTGTTCAGCAGCATTTAATTACAAATTCTGTCAATTAAACTAATCCCCAGCTGAAATGAGTTGGACTGAATTATATTGGAGGAAGTTCTGCCAGTTTTTTGCCAGTATTTGCCAGTTTTATTGCTGAGAAATCAGGGAGGATGGGGATGGTTCTATTCACTACGTTCTTCAAGGTTTACCAAAAACTTCCAGTTGCAGAGACCTTCCATGACTTCAGAATCTTAAGTCTAGAACAGACCACGGAGAGCTAAACCTGGCAGGAGATGGTTCCACTGGCATGTTCATCATCAGTCTGGTGGCTGCAAACCCGACGATTCGCAGAGACTTTCTGAAATGGAAAGCTTTTGTTATCTGGTGGCCATTCGGGAGCTGTGTTGAAATGAATGATGGTTTATCTTATCTTTCATTCCCTCTCAGGAAGAATGAACACAGACATTAATGAAAGAATGGTTTAGCTGATTGATTTTCCCTCTTCTACTGAGGAAATTATCTTTCCATGACAGAGCTAACGGATTACCTAAGCTGTAGAAAAAACTCCTCTGTAAATAAAATCCATGGCATCTGCCATACAGCATCTGATGTTTTCATTATAAGTTTACGCACTTTTTTGGTGTCAGAAATTAAACTGTTAACTTCTACCTTAGTAAGGTTTGAGCAGAACGTCCCCATTCTCCAATAAAGTGGTTACTTTGATACTGAAATAAATCCATTCTCAAATATTAGGATGAAATTGGTAAATTTATGAACTAATGCTCTCCTTTCAGATACAAGGCAATGGCTGTATGTTTCCACCCTATCTCACAACACTGGCCCAGGACCTCGGCACGGTCATTCGGCAGTAGTTTATCGTACAGCCATGTACCTCTATGGAGGGCTGGTGGGGCTGAGTGAACAGAAAGATTTATGGAAATGGGACTTTGGAAACAGCAGCTGGTATAACATCAGAACAAGGTACAGAATATTGTTTGTTACACTACGTTGACACAGAAAGAGAATTAATCTTACCATATGATACCGCATGCAGGCAGAGAGGAAAATGTTTCCCTTTTGGGGAAGATAGGGATTACTCAGATTAAGACCTGGTACCACTGCCATCCCTGAGGCTCCGGTTGGCTTTGCTGGGGAGTTGGCAACACGTTGGTGCAGCTGTCAGCAATACCATTTTGATGCCCCACTGCAGCTGTTCAGTGCTCATTCTCTTGAGTCAAAAGAAAAATAGAGGCTAAAGTCAACGTTAGATTCTTGTTGGTCTCCCCATAATTGCTGTTTTTTCTTGTATTTAGCCAAGGACCTCCTCCAGCAGTAGGTCACGCTTCAGTAGTCTTCAAAGACTCAATGCTGGTTTTTGGTGGAGGGATTTCCAACTCCAGTCCTAATGAAGACCTCTGGAAGTACCATTTCCATACACAGACATGGAAGAAGCTAAGTGGCGTTACAAAGGCAAACTTTTCTCCTAAAACATATCACTGCATGCTAGGAATTGGCGTTGGCTTTCAAACTACCTCAGATTTCACTAACGCATTCTCCAGACACTGGAAGAGTAAGAAGGAGCACCACCAGCTGGTGACCATCCCAAAGCACTCCTACTTCTGCAGCTACTTTCGCCAGCAGCCTGCATACCGAGCGTTCAGCAACGAGGACAGTGGTGCCATTGAAATGAAAACCTTTAGCTTCCCTCTGGAGCCAGTGGGTTTTTGTGCATTTCAAACCACTTCAGAGGTGGAAGCAGACCCAAAGAGAGCAACAAGCATTTTGACAAGGGATGGGTCTGCCCCTCTGTTTCTCTCTTCTGAAAAAGAGACTTTTGCTGCTGCTGCACTTGTGGAACAAGAGGAGGGAACCAACTGTCAGCATGCAGCTGCAGGAGATGAAGTTAGCAGCGATGCCAATGTGCTGCTGCTCATTGGAGGCAAACCTTTGTCCAGCTTCTCTGAAATCTCATTGTGGCAAACGGAGTTTGATAGCTTGTCATCTGTTTGAACGCAAAGCAAAAGAACAAATCCCCGCCAATGTGCTTAGGGGGCAACAAACCAACCAAACAGTGTTTTCAGTTTTCTGTCAGCTCACTGGGAAAAGAACAAAACCTTGTCACACATGTTATGCAGAGATTTTTTTTTACAATGTGAACAAAAACCTCTCTATACATGTAAGCCACAACTGACATAAAAATTACAGTTCCCAGGAGGAGCTTGTTGGAACTTAGCTGCCATTGTTACTTTTCCCTTCTGATCACCTAACATCCTGAAGTCACTGTGGCTGAGGCTGCATTGAAAATCAGATCTGCTGTAACCCCTACTGGCTCCGTAACTGCCATTTGAAATGTTTGCTCATCTTGTGGTGTGCCAAGTAAAAGATACACACCTCTAAAACTGCAGTGTAATCCAGTTTGGGCACGTTACTCTCACGTGTGGCTATGAGGGATCTGATGAATCCTAATGGCTTTTTCTTCAGAGAACCCTCTTTGCACAGTGTGTCCACAACAGCAGACAGCATATTGCATTGAGTATTTGAGCCTTTGCATGGTTTATTTTCTTTGTTTAAAACTTCATGAGCATTCACATTCACCAAGAAAGGTGTTTTTTGGAGAGAGAACATCGTCCAGCATTTCAGGTATTTCTGTGTAAGTTACTGAGGTATCTGCCTTCAAGTTATTGGCCTTCTGGTTGAATCCAGCATCCTCTAGGAAGAAATTATGATGTTTGAAAGAAATATTTAATATTTCCAGTTTTTTTAAAAAGTAGTTCTCAAGAGTTTCATAGGAATTTTAAGTGGAAGTATTTACAGATACTTTCTTCATCTTTTCACAAGTTGCTGTCCCATGAAATCGGTACAAAAATTACAGATGGGTTTACAAAAAGTTATTTAAGGATTACTTGGACCTTCAGTGACCTTTGGAAACTGAATTGTATGCTGCCATATAAGTAAAGCATGCTGCACTTCCCATCAGTGTGTTCTTGTTTTCTGTGCTTTCATGAATTTAAAATATATATTTACACTTTCCAAGCAGCAAAGAACTTGCCTCTTGGAACAAACAGCGCACTCCCACAAGCACCAGCTATCTCACAGCAGTCCTGCAGGCCTTATTGCTGCTCAGGCTTTGGATTTCTTCTCCAGGATCATGAATCACCCACTTGGAGGAGGCACATTTGAGAACTTCCTACAGCGTCCAGGCTGAGCACGTGCAGGGCACTGCAGCCTTCACTCAGCAGCAAGCATTTTTCGCTGGCTGATGTGTCTGTTCTGGCATTATCCAGAGAGCTGCTGTAATATACAGACTTCTATCTAGGATTGATGAGGGAGTACAATTTATCTGGAAAGTGTAACAATAAACCAGAGATTTGCCAAGTGATGAGAAGGTCTTCTGGTACATCCACGTATCCTGGGGATGCACAACAGCCCAGGAAAACGCAATCCAACCTCCACCATTCCTTTCGTGCTCCCCCCAGCCTCCCTTCTGGGAACTTTGGCAGCCCCACAGAGGGTGTAGCATTTACTTGGAGCCAATGCAGGCAGGACACGAGCCAGCTCTAAGGAGAAGGCCTGGCATAGGGAGCAAAAAGCAGCTTGCAGGACGTGCCCATCTCCTCCACGTCCTCCCCTCCCCAGAAGGTGAGCAGAGTTGGGGCTGCATCGACACTTCTGATGCAGCTTCAGCTTCTTCCCCAGGAAATCCTGAACATTCACCTCAGCCCACGGGGCCCTGCTGCACCCCAGCCCCTGTACCCCAGAGCTTGGGATGGAGCTGAGATGGAAAGGCACTGCATCCCACAGCCCCTCTGCAGCACGAGCATTCCTCTGCCTGGCACCTCAGTCTTGCTGGTCACGCAGCACTTGTATTTCAGGCCCTATCCTAAACCTGCACACGGTATCCAGGACCCACGCACATAATCCTTGCTCACACCATGGTCTGATACTCCCTGAGACGTCCTGTTTCAGAACTCAGTGCCACCAACTATGCCCAGCAGTGTTCCCATCACCCCAGGTAGTTCCACTCCTGCTTTCCTGGTGCAGTACATTTGTGATTTGATGCAGAGGAACAGCAGAGGCTTTGTGAATGTGCTTCTGCTTTTTCTCCATGCCTGCAGCAGTTCGTGAGAATTCATCCTGGGCCCAAGCCAGTGACTAAAAGCTACAGCCATCTGAATGCTCGGAGGTGGCCTGCATGAAATAATGAATGGAATTAGTCCAGCTGATGGCAGCTACTTAGTAACAAACCAGCACTGATTTTTGGCTGGAAGCAGAGCAGAGGGGCTGTCACTGAAGTGAGTTGTTCGAAGTATCTCTGAAAAAGGGAAGTTTGCAAACCACTTATCACGAGAACAATTCCATCAGCCTTAATTATCTCAAACTCACTGTCTTTAATTACTGCTTGCTTTCTGAACATCAAAAAGAGGATTTTCTCTTAAAATATAGACACTTAATAAACAGGGTGGCTTTCAAATTAAAAAAAAAAGCCCATCTATTTTCAATATATTTTCTTATAAATGCATTTGAAGAACCATTGAGTCACTTACCAGTGGGATCTTAAGTTTGACCTACACAGAAAACATGCCACAAGGGAAATGACTTTCTAGGAGCTTAGCTATTAAGTTGGAACTATTTCACTTCACAGAATCATGGAATGGCCTGGGTTGAAAAGGACCACAATGATCATCTAATTCAATCCCCCTGCTATGTGCAGGGTCACCAATCACCAGACCAGGCTGCCCAGAGCCACATCCAGCCTGGCCTTGAATGCCTCCAGGGATGGGGCATCCACCACATTCCTGGGCAACCTGTTCCAGTGCGTCACCACCCTGAGTGAAATTACTTCCTTGTGACACGTCATTGAGATGATCAGATGGCTTGGATGTCCTCTGCTGCCTTAAGTAGAAATAAAGTTTCCTTTAACCCATGAGTAGCACCGCTGTACTTGGAAGCATAACACCATCCCCTGAACACTGAAAATAAAAGCCAGGTGGCACCGCTTCTGACTGCACTTTGTGGAACTACACGTGGCCCTTCCAACCCTCCTCCTGGGCACCACACCCTGGGCTCATTTTCAACACACCCTGCTGTCTCCTTGGAAAATCTCATCTCATTTGAAAACCACCACTTAACTCTTTACCATCTGCAAGTGTAGCTGTTATCTTACACTTCAATCAGTGGCAAAGCGTTTGTTGGCCACATACCTGGGGCTCTGAGCTCAGGGAGCAGCACTGCCAGCCCCAGTGACCCGCTCCTGTCCCAGGTCTCAGCCCCCCTCCTGCCTGCCACCATAGAGCCCAGAAGTGCTGAAGAATGACTCCACAAGACATTTGCACGGACGTGGTGTATTTCAGACACAACTACAGCATAAACATTTCGAGATCGGGTTGCGGACTACAAACCACAGTCCCTCGTTCCCGTGTACAGTTTCTATAAAGATGGCAGTGCAGTGCCCAAAGCCGCTCATACGTCACTACTGTGAAACAGAAGCAAGAGGGTGCACTTTGTTTTATAAAAAAATCCAAATAAATTATACACTGAGAGCTACCGCCGAGCTTCACATATAAAAAGGTAAAAATACAGTAGTTAGTGTGGCTTTAACAAAAAAAATCTAGCTAAAAAAATACTCTTACGTACTTCAAAAATAGGTTTCTCCAGTTATAGGAAGGGGCATGTGTGTGTTTAGGAAGCAAAGTGCTCAAGCCCAACAATACAAGAGAGGTGCACTTAGCAGGAGAAGCCCCGTGGCTCCCTGCTGTGACACAGCACAGGGAGCAATGCCCACCCCTCGTCCCAGCAGATGGGCACAGCCTGTTCCTTTTGTAGTGCTGACTCTTGGATGTGGATATTACACCTGCATCGCTGGAAGGCCATTAGCATGGAGTTCTACTTTTTTGGTATAAAAGCTACGATTGTCTAGCTGTGACATTAATGCATCTAATAGCTACGTAATTTTACCGCCGCTTTCTAACTAACAAACACTCTGCGCTTCACCTGTGGGAGATTCAGGTTGTCCCAGAACACATTCACAACGTGGAAAATACATCCAGTGCAGTTTGTGGCAGATCTGAACAGTATGGCTTTGCTTTGAGAAACAGAAGCAAGAATTGGGTGCATGGGCTGAAAACAGCATGTGGGAAGACCCAAATGGAACCGAACCTTTCACCTGAGACCTTCATTGTGTGCAGCCAGGTTGTGACCAAAGAGTTGTCCAAAACATACCTCTGGTACAGCTGGCTGTCTCTGACAAGCTCTGCATGGAACTGCAGTTTAAATTGGAGTGCATTCCAACCTGAAAAATTATATATATATATATATATATATATATATGTATATATAATTTTTTAAGGGATCTGGCCTTTTCCAAATGACTGCAACACAGCATGTAGCTGTATTTCTTCATTCCTTTCAGCTCTCAAAGCTTTTAAGTGGTCAGCAGATGTGCCAGCATCCCAACATCAGATTAACACTGAAGTTTCATTTATCAATTTCTTTGAACACATACAAATAAAATAAACCTTTTAGAGGGTGACTGAACCTTCCAGCCAATCAACCAATAGAACAGCCATGTTAGGAAAACTCCTCCTTCTCAGTAACATACTGAGACTCATTGATACTCTACAGCATTAACTGCAAGAACCACGTGTCTACTTACATTTGATAAAGCACAAGTGATAAATAATGCTACGTTACTTGATAGCCAGTCACAGCACAACACGAGGCCTGTAGTTTTAAAGCAAACCAGTGATGCAAAGCTACAGGACCTTCAGACACTGGATTATGTGCCTGTTCAGATCGTATAACTGTGGTGTCTCAGTCTCTTCAGGCTCCCCATACAAACAAATGGAATAGCTAAATAAGCTACGATGAGTTAAATGGACTGTGCATTTCCTTCAGCTACCAGGACACTGCTGGGAAGAGCTAGGTTTGCAGCCTCAATTCCACTGGAAATTGCAGATCTCTAACACAGAAGCTGAAAATTTTGAATTTTTAAGCAAAATTTCAAGTATTTGGCTACTGGAAGTGGAGGAAAACCTTGCCTCTACGAAATTCTCCCATGTGGGAGTTTAAATGCAACATTCCCTCCATCACCAACAGCCCAGCCACACTGGAAGTGTAACAATTGGGACTTGGAACCATTTAGATTTTAGGAGGCCACATTCACCATGTGTTCCTTACTTTTTTTTTGGTTTTTTTGTTTTTTTTTTTTTTTTTTTTTTTTTGCTGTATGTGATTTCCCAGAAGGAATCTAATTATTTAGCACTCAGTACTTTAAAAGTGTAAACTTCTGTTATTTTACTTCTGGGAGAAACTCAAGCTAACAGTTCACAGAGCTCCTGAACCCAATGGGAAGAGTCAAATATCAAACATGCCTTAAAGAAAATGCTTCTGCATTCTGTCTATTTACAAAACCAACACATGTAGTTGGTGAATGCCAGCTCAGCTGCTGAGCAAACAGATCAATAGTGAGTGCCAAGTTTCCCCACACAGTCCTGGCTTTGTGCAGGAAGCAGACTGTCGCAGCCATAGCTTCCCTTTTTTGCTGCAGGAACTTTTCTGGCAACTCTGTTAATCCACACTAAGACATTTGATATTTGAATCGGGTATCTTTCATGTTTTAATATGTAATAAAGCTCAGATTTAAAATATAAAAAAGCCAATACTCTGCTGGAAGCAATGATGGGAGGTAAATGCTGGCCAGCAGAAGTGCACCACGTAGGCCCAAAGAGCAGCTCCCCTTTGGCTGGCAGTGCTGTGAGTGGGGAAGTGTGCCTGAAGCTCCTGCCGTCCATTTCAACTGTAGGTTACATAGGCAAAGGCTGCAGATCACTCTCTGTAGCATAGTCAATCATAATTGCTCCCAATGGTCCCTATGTTTTTCTGTTAAGGCCTCTGAGGTTTTGAGGGGTGGCAGTGGGCTGTGTAATGCCAAGCGGTTCCTTCCTTAAAACTCTCAGTCAGCATCTTATAAAAAA